GATTGGTTTAAAAATTTTACTAACCGATTAAATTGGATTGGATTAAAAAATGTTAAAATTCGAACCAAACCACCCCGCGAACACCCCTAGGTTTCATAAAGAAAAACTCTTTTAGAATTTATTTTTTTATTTATAAAATTCAAATTCAAAATCTTATATAAGGAAAACTAAAATCCTTTGCTTGAATTAAGAGATTGTTGATTTTATATGTAATTTTAAGTCATATTTTCTTATAATATGTTAATGATAATTGATATTTTTTTCCCAACATAGTTCTTATTAAGTATAATTTTATTTGTTAAAAACATATTTTATTTATCATTTATATATTATAAAAAAAAAACATGACCTAAAACATGTGAAAAAAGGCCAAACTACTTATATTTTAAAATATAGATAGTGTTTTTGTAATTTCTTTAGCTTAAGGTTTATTTTTATATTTTATTATTTTTATTTTTAAAAATTATTGTTATTATATAAATATAAAATATAATAAATATTAAATAAAATTTTAACCATACAAGTATAGTTGACAAATCAATTAAATAAATCAATTAAACAAATCAAATAAATAATTCTAAACCCTCTATTTGTTAGTTAACTTAATACTTACTTTTTTCTTTTTTCTTTTTTCTTTTTCAATTCAGATATATTATTTATCCAAACTAATAAGATACTTGCAAGTAACAAAGTGTATTCATTTCCAATGCTACCCTAAGAACTACGATGGTGTTAAATGGCACTTAAGGCCCAAAAAAAGGGGGAAAATAAAAAACCACTTCAGCCCTCACATGGCAAAATTGTCCCATAAATATAGATAACAACGGCAATACAAGCTTAGTATTACAGGTTCGATTTTGTAACTCAGGCTCCTTTCTTCTTTTGCTCCTTGGGAGGTTCCTTCGTTAGCATTCTTGGGGCAATGGCCATGGCCATAAGCTCTTGGAAGAGCAGCTTACAGGCATAAGGGATGTGCACCTGCAACACAGTTGTCATCACAACAACAAAACACAAATTAGGACCTTGCTAAAAATTAACAGAGAAATGACACTCCCACTTTTTCTTTCTTCTTAGGGGATTGAGGTTGGTAAAGCTAACTAGGATGGAAAAATAAAAAATCTCAAAATAGTAACAAGAAAAGGATTACCTGAACAATATCCGTTTTATTCTTACAACCTCTGCACTCAAACGAATTCTTCTTCAGATTTGCAATAGCAATCAACCCACAACGCTCACAAACATGGACCCTATATGCATCACTCTGGTCAAACAACCTTTCTTTGAGAAAGTGCGCAGCACCATGAGCAATCATGCAATCTCGTTCCATTTCTCCAAATCTAAGACCACCATCACGAGATCGTCCCTCTGCGGGCTGTCTTGTAAGAATTTGCACAGGACCCCTTCCACGTGAATGGATCTTATCATCAACCATATGCTTCAGTCTTTGATAATAAGTAGGGCCCAGGAATATCATAGCACTGAGCCGTCTCCCTGTGTGGCCATTATACATGGTCTCGAAGCCACGCATTTGATACCCACATTTATGGAGAGCTTTGCTTATATTATCCACCTAAAATATCAATTAACAAGAAAATATGAATATGATGCAGCAATTGTTTTCCCTAAGTTTATATTTTACTGCCTAGCTCCAAAACTCAACAAATGAGATGTCTGTCCATATTTTCTTGGCCTCAGAGATGATATCCATATGAAGATGCACTTATAGGAGTGGCATCATTCCCAAATATCAAGCTTGAAGGACATTAAATAGGCTAAAACTTCAAGAGCTTGAATAGAGTGAAACTTACAGTGACATCAGTAAAAGGAGTGGCATCCCCTTCCTTGCCCATGTGAGCAGCAACCTTTCCCATGATACACTCAATAAGCTGACCAATGGTCATTCGAGAAGGAATGGCATGTGGATTGACAATAATATCAGGGGTGATACCCTCCACAGTCCATGGCATGTCTTCCTGTGTGTAAGTCATGCCCACAGTTCCCTTTTGGCCATGTCTACTGCTAAACTTGTCTCCAATCTGGGGTATCCTAACTGATCTTACCCTTACTTTCACAAATCTCAATCCATCAGCGTTTGTTGTCAGTAGAACCTATAAAAGAACTAGATTTGTCAGAGATAAGAACAAGTTTCCAATGATTGAATTCAAGTATTACATGCATCAATTGCAATAGCATAGAAGAAATTCCTGATTTTATGATACACA